GAGGGGTCTGGGCTCTGAGTACCGCCTCCACCCTAGCCCCCTGGCCCTCACCCTGCCATGTCACTCTCATGGGCAGCTGACCCAGCGGCCCCAAAGCCTCAGGCTCCACATTTTACAGCCAAGATGGGGAGGCTCATGGTGGGGCGTGGGTGAGTGGGGAGCACTTGTGTAGCATGTGCAGGCCCTGGGTTCGACCCCCAGCGCTGCCAATTTAAAAAAAGGCAAGGCCCTGGTCCACAGCTCACGACCCACAGCACTGAGCCCCAGCCCTGGGTACCGGCCCGAAGGCTCCACCACAGCATTCAGACCCCAGGCCCCTGCAGGTGCCAGTGTTGCCCTTGGATGCCACACCCACTCCCACCTGCCTCTGGGGCTCAGCCTGCTAGACCTGGGGTTGTCCCAGGGCGTGAGCGATGACGCTGACCATTGCGACAGGAGCAGTGGTGGTGACAGCGTCAACACCTACCCATGGCCCTGCTGTCCGGGGAGCCCTGAGTGGCATCTGTGGCCCCAGGCTCACTCAGGAGATGCTGGTGGGGGAGGGTTGAGGCCTGGGCAGGAAGCTCTCTGAGAGCTGCCTGTCCCTCTCACACCTGACCCTGACTCAGCGGTGACCCCCTGCTGACTGCAGGCCCTCGATATAGTGGCCTTCCTGCCCTCGCTTCTGGGCCTGGGGCGATAATGGTGCTGTTGGAGGTTGGCTTTCACATTGTCCCAGTGACACAGGCAGCAGTTCCAGGTCCAAGGTGCTTGTGGAGGAAGAGCGAGTGCCTGTCCCGCTAGCCCAGGCACCCCAGGGCCTTGCCTGTCCCTGGGGCCAGGTCGGGACCCTTCCTAAGCACCCAGGAGGGCCCCCCCGCAAGGGTGGGTGTGGCCACAGGTGTGTGCCTGAGCCCCACACACCCTCCCCTTCCTTGCTGTCCAAGTGGCCTCTTTCTGTGGCCGTCCGGGGCTGGGTGCCCTGGGCCCGGGCACAGCCTGCCTCCTCCACCCGGCCGACAGGGGACATCCCACTGGGCACCCTCCCACAGCCCACTGGGGTGTCAGGCGGTGTTCCTGATACCTCATCACCAGCGAATTCTGGGATGGAGATCTGCCCTGCAGGGGGGTGGCCAGCACGGTGGCCTGGGTCAGGAGGAATATCCACAGGACCACACTGGGGCGGCACGAGGCACTGAGCCCTGCCCACCCTTCAGGTTCTGTACCCTGTGTTTGTTCTGGGAATGGTGCAGGTGGCGAGGGGACCCTGGCTGGGCCCTGGGACACCCCTTGCCATGGACACTCACCCTACACCCACCTCTCCTCAAGCCACTGCAACAGGGCTGATGTGGACACGGTGGCTTCCCCTTGCACCTCAGTGACTCCAGGGTCAGCACACGTAATGGCAGCTGTGGTTCCACACTGGGCTCCAGGCCACCCTCCCATATGCAGTTTGGACAGACAGCTGGGGGAGACTTGGGCCAGTGGGACAGGGGACCCTGGTCAGCCTGCATCTGAGTCCCGCGTCCCTCCAGTTCTGTGTAGCCTTGTGTGGGTGGGGGGTGTCCTCAGCTCCTTCCTCCTCCTGATCGCTGCCCCTGGACAGACACCCCCAGGACACGAGGACAGGCCAGGACCTCATGTTGAATGGGACCCTGCACGTCCTGGTTGGCTGGCGTGTCTGCCTGGCCACCACCTTCTGACTTAAGCAGGGGTGGAAGGGACAGGACATAGGTACCAAGGCACTGGGAGTGGTCCTGAATTGGTGACCCCGGCCACTGGAAGGCAGTGCCTGCCCCACCCCCAGGAGCCAGGAGCCCTTGTGGGGATGGTGATTGCGTCTCCCTCCATTTGCATATCAGAATGCTAAGCAGCCAGCCTGCAGCGCAAGGTCATTTCAAAGATAAACCCAGCTCCTCCTGCCTGTGCATCCCTCTCCCAACCAGAATCAGCCTGCTCTGCCCTCTCCACGGTAGCCACGGCCACCCTGCAGGACCCGGGCTCACAGCCCTTCTGCCCCCTCACCTGCTCCCCTCTGCAGGGTCAGGCTGGAGTCCACAGAGCCCTGGACCTGCCCCTCCTGCCCCTCCGAGTTCCCTGCATATCCACGCAGCCGTCATCCATGGTGCCTTGACAGCAGCCATCCTGCCCTGGAGGCAACCAGCCCGCTCCTGTCCCATCAGGTGTTGGAAAGGTGTGGGTTTTCTGCTGCAGGCCTCACATCCATGGGCAGGACTGTTGCTATCCATATCCCCTGGAGGAGGGCACCAGGCCACTTGCAGTGCCCCTTCCGGCTGGTCCTGCCTGGGGGCTGAGGTGCGCTGGGCACTCATGGCTGCTGCAGGAGTCTGTGGCCCTCCCTGCCTGCACCCCGCCCAGAGGGACCAGCTGCCCCACCCCACGCGGGGAGGACGTGGCTGAGGCCGCCAGCTCTGCTCCTGGCCATGCCACAGGGGGAGGCGGCAGGGCCAGGCCTGTGCTCCTGCTTCTTGGGACAGCGTGGGGCTCCTGTTGCAGGTTTGACACTCAGTGCGAAGCTGCTAGTAGTGAACTCCCGAGGAGGAAAACAACACTGTGAGCACCACCCTGGCCTTTTGGGGGCTAGGGTTGCTAAGTGGCAGGGGGGTCACCCCACTGTCTGCAAGGCCCTTGTGCATATGAGGCAAGTGGAGGCCTCCGGAGTGTCTGGGTGGGGACGGGGCTGCGAGGTCCCTCCTGCAGGCCCTCACAGCCACCTGCCCTGGTCTGGGCCCCCAGGAAACCGCAGGAGCCATGATCCTTCCCAAGACATGGGCCTGTGTATGCTGTGGTCCCAGGACATGGTGGGCCTCGTCCCGCCAGCAGATGGTGGCCAGCATGGTGAGCTGGGGCAGCCAACGTGGCCCGGGCACCTTGAAAGCCAAGCCTGGGACAGGAAACTGAGGGCCTGATCCCTCCCTGAGCCAGCTCTTCCAGCCCTGCAAAGGGGAGGTGCAGTGTCTCCCGGGGGACATGCCTAGGTCAGGTCTGTGTTCACCCCTAACTGGGGGATATGGAAATCAAAAAAGGGGTGGGATTAACCTAGGGAGAAACACCGGATGGGGGGTGAAGGTGGCCAGGCCTTGCTGTGCCCTGGCCACCATGCAGGCACTGTGCTCGGGCCCTGACCCTGGAGCTCGTGAAGCCCTGACACCCGTCACTGGCACAGCGGCCCCTCGAAGATAATACTGCTGGGCCTGCGGCTTCCCCTGCGATAAGTGCGGCTGTGCGGGGCCTGATAGGCCGTGGCTGGCGCGGCGGTTGGCCAGTGGCTGCCTATCGGCTTCTCGCTGCCCACTGCACAGAAATTCCTATCTGTGGGTGCTGACGGGCACCTCTTGGTCACCAGATAGTGCAGGAAGTGGGGGTGCCCCCACCCCAAACCATGGCTGCAGCTTCCACAAGGTCAGGCCCAAGTCCAAAGGCTCCATGTCCTCTCTGAGGCAGGAAGTTGAGGACTAGGACCGGGATGGGGACCAACAGGTAGATGGACTCTGAAGCTCACACCCAGGTGCATTCCCAGTGGGGAGTCGTCCCTTGCCAGAAGCCAGGGTCTCCTCATCCCCAGTGTGGTCAGCACATCACCAGCTTCACACCCCTGGATGCCTGGTCCCACAGGCACACATGGTCCTCACCACACCAGCAGCTGTGGATGAGGGGGACTGGGCCCAGGGCTCTCAGGGCTGAAGCTACCTTGCCACCCTCTTACAGATGTGCAAACTGAGTTAGTGCGGGGCTGGTTAAAAGCAGGTAGTCAACACATCACCCTGCTTGCGGGAAAAGCCCTCTCACTTCAAGGATGGCAGAGCACCCAGGCCCCACAGGGGTATTCCTAGGGGCAGAGGTATCCTGCGGCCACATCCCCTGCCTGTCCCCAGGGCCCTAGGTGAGTGTGCCCCGGAGTCTGTGGTGCCGAGGTACAGCGTGGAGGCCCTGGTGCTGTCTTCCAGGCGGTTCCACTCCAGTGGCTTCCGCTTTGCACAGCATGGGGCCCTTGTCCTGGCTAAAGCCACTGCAGCCTGCCCCTTCCTCCCCAGTTGTGCTAACCCAGGCTCCTACACAGCCATACAGACATCACTGACCCAGCCCCGTGCTTGTGCCCTGGCCCCGCAGTCCTACTAGAAAGCCCTGTGGCTGCTTGGAGGTCCGCTCTACATCTTTTCCAGGGTCCCAGTGCAGAATAGGTTCCCCTAGCCTTAGCAGAGCCTTTCCCATCTCCAACAAGGGTGGCCCTTGTTCCCCACAGACACGGACTCACAGGACTCCACCTTGTACACGGCAGGCGCTCAATAAGTGCTTGCTGTGTGCCACATGGGCCCAGCCTGTGTGCTCAGCCTCTGTTCCACCCGTCTTGGCCAAGGACCACACAAGCTCCTCTGTATGGTGCCCACCCACCTCGGCTCCTGGGCTTGGGTACTTACTAATCAGCAAAAACAGCAACAACCCCACCCTGCTCCCCTAGCTCTCAGGTGGAGAGGTCAGCCCTAGAAGGGGTGGCCACAGGAAGGACACACTGGGGCTTCAGGCTGTCCTTGGACTCTTCAAAAAGGCTTGGAGCCAACCTGTCAGGCAGGGGGCTGCAGCGCCCCAGTGCAGCCCGTCCTCTCCTGCCCTCCCCAGGGACTACTCTGCTTAGAGCCCGACCCACTGCTGGGAGGGCCAAGTGCTCCAGTCATGCCCCCCACATCCCCTGGGATACCAGGTTCAGCCATCTCTGCTTGTTCCTTCGTCCCAGCCGGTCACACCCTGCCTCTGGGAACCTTCCAAACAGTTCTGCCTCACCACTCAGGGCAGGATTCTGCTCTGGGCACAGCCACGCTGGTGACCGCCTCCTGCCAACAGCTTGCCACGTAGCCTGCCATGAAGGCTGATGGGACTTAGGGACAGGCCAAGCCCTGAGGCCTCTGGTGACCCGCGTACCCTGAGTGGCCCTGCTCCCAGCTGGCCCAGCACTGAACCTGGCTGCCTTGGGACGTGGCACTGGTGGACCCCGTGCTGGTTACCTGGCCCGCTCCAGGGGCTGGCCGACTCCTCCAGCGGTTGCGTCTCAGGCTCTGGCCCCTCCATCTCCTCGGGGGCTCCTGGGGATGTGGGGTGTACCGGTGCTGGTGCCGTTGGTGCTGGGGGTGGGTTCACGTCTGCAGGGAGGAAAACACCATCACATCCCTGAGCCTCTGTGAGCTGAGCGGTCTTCCTTATGGCCACAAGGGAAACTGAGGCCTAGGGCACACAGCAGGGCCAGAGTCACTGCCCTCCTGGCTGGCTCTCATGAGGGGAGCAGGGAAGAAATCCCAATTTTCCTTGCAACCTTGAGACACCCTCAGTAGCCCGTGAATAGCAGTAGCGATCACAGCGGTTCCAGCTGCTGTTGTACCTCGCCCAGGGCAGCTACCAGGTGTGCTGGGGCAGTGGCATGCCGCCGCTCGTCTCCGCAGCAGCAGGGCCCCTCTGCCGGCCCTGCACCCAATTCCAGCCCAAAGGGCATATTTGCCTTCCCAGCGGGCTGATAACCACTGAGGCCCCCAATCGATGCGCTCCCATAAAGCCCCCCGTGACGTCACGCGCCAGGCAGATTATTAATACCCACGATAAGGGCCGTGATTAACATCAAATAAATCAATCACACAATATAAAAGTCCTATTATTTTTGGCTATAAATCAAAGTGGCTGGCGTTTGAGCTCCAGCCACAGTGAGCAGCCGTGCTGGACCCGCCTGAGCGCAGATACGCTCTGCGCCTTATCGCGCCCATCGCCACGCTATCACCACGGCCGGTGCCAGGTGCAGCCCAGGCTGTTTTCTCCAGTCCGTCCTGGCCCCACCCCGCCCCTGTGCAGCCCAGCTCCAAGATCAGATAAGGGCCCGGCTCCCCAGGAAGCCGCAGGTCAGAGTCCACCAGCAAGCGCATTGCCCTTTGGCAGCTCATGCTGGGCCCTCCATTAGCACAGCACTGAATGGTAGTCACGATGGCCAGGGCATGGCGGGGCCTCTGGGCGTCTAATGAGCCCTCATCCCGCTACCCAGCGAAGACCAAGACCCAGGGAGGTCAGTAAGTCGGCCTGGACAAGCTGGCTACACAGGCACTGCAGACGGACGGAAAAAGAGATAGCAGCAATAATGGACACTTGGCTGTGACCGAGCGCCCACGCCGGCACCACAGTCCTATGGCCATGTGTGTCCCTAGTGAACCAGGGTACGGGTCCCTGCCCCACACCACTCCCCCAGGCTCTGGGGACAGTCAGAGCTGGCAGGCCAATGGCATGGCTCTGAGGGGTGAGGTGGGGGCTCCCGCCTGTAGCCATCAGGTGAGGCCAGGGCTTTCAGAATGGGCGGTGGAAGGAAGGGGCCGACGGGAGACACCCTGACCTACCAGGGCCCGGTCTGTCTGGAGTTTCTGCCCATCCATGCCTCCCGCCCAGCAGGCCACCTGATGCCCCCTCACCCCTTTTGGGCCTCCTGCTCTCCTCTCTGTCCCCCTCGCCTTGGCTGTCCCTTGGCCTCTGCCTTTGCCCACTGTGCTGCAGCACAGATGACCATGGGGCCTGGGGTCTCTCACGGTCACTGCCTGCCTCTCCTCTGTTCAGGGTCATGGCCCCTGCCAGGCACCTCACCCTCCTAGCAGCCTGGGGCTGTGGCCATGTCTCTCATCAAAGCTGTGACAGCATCTTGGGTCCAAGTGGGCTGTGAGCACTGCCCTACGGAGCTGGGGTGGGACGCTGACTCCCACTACCTCTGGCCCTCACTGTCACCCAGGGATCTGGGCCCAGCAGGCCTCTCAGAGTCCATGGCTCCTCCCTGAGTGTGTAGGTGGGGTCTCCGTCCCAGGCCCATCCTCGGGGAAGAAATACTGCCACCAGGGAGGGGGCCTGGGGCTGCAGGTGTCTGGGGAGTGCAAGGCGGCAGGACAGAGGACCCAGAGCTAAGTCTGGATTGGGCAGAGCCTGGGCAGTGGTAGCATGCAAGATGAGTCACTCCAGGATCACCCCAGCAGCTGAGTGTCAAGTAACAGTGTGTACAGGGGCTGTACTCAGAAGGGCAATGCTGCCATGAGCAGTGCGGACACTCAGTCTCCACAGGTTCGCCACCCCTGGCCTCAGGTGTGGAGGCTGTGGTGTAGATAGGCTGGATCCTCTTGCTTTGTACCTCAGTCTCCTCATCTGTACTTAAGCCACGTGTGCAAGTGTCCCTGTACTGCCCTGGCCAGGGACGGGGCCTGGGCACAAGAGCAGTGACGCACCTGTACTGGATGGGCTCAGGGGCTCGGGTCTCCCTACAGCCATGGGCTCTGGTGCCGGGGTCTCCTGCTCCTCCAGGCTGGTGTCTGGGGCCTGGGCTTCCTCCACAGCATCCATGTCTCCAGGAGAACCTGTGGACACAGCCAAAGGGGAGCCATGAGGGCCTTTGAGCGTGTCCACATAGGCTTCCTGTGCCCAGTGCAGTTGGGCCAGCACCCACTGCATCCCCAAGATCTGATGTGTGTGCCCGCCTGCTTGATGTGTGCACCAGGCGTTGATCTGCAGGGCGCAGCCTGGCTCCCGGCCCTGCTCTCCTAGCCACACATGCTCTGAGTCCCTGGCATGTGCGCTGCTTCCACCAGGACAAAGGGCTCCTCCTTGTGTCCTCCTGCCCACCCAGCCCCGGTGAAAGCCATGAGGATGTCACTGCCCTCCCCTCCAGGAGGGGTCCCAGGCTCGGAGGGACAGTGCAGCCCATTCCCACCCCAGAGGCTCACACTCCTGAGTCCATAGGGCCCAACGCCCCCTAGGTCCCTGGGGTAGGCACTTCCCTGATCACCACAGGACCCCACCTCCTCTGAACCCCAGAGCTCCCTGGGCATGGGTAGTGGCAGCACCACAGGTCCATGGTGGAAGGAGGGATGGGGCCAGGTGAGTTGCGGTCAGCGGGGGTGGCACCCCCTTGGAGACTGAGGATGCAGGGCCAAGGCTGGCCTTGCAGGAGGGTGGATTAGGGTGGGACACATGGCTCCGACACCAAAGCCACTGCCTGAGTTACGGGATGCCGACTGGACCCATGTAGGACAGAGGAGTCAATGGTGTGAACAGAGAGCCGTGGCCCGATAGTGTTCCCCACCCCATCCCTCTGGGTCAAATCTGCCCCCAGCACATCCAAGAGACCAGCAGGGACCGGGCTGAGTGAGTGGGGTTGTGAGCCAGCTCCCACCTGCCCTCCGAAGCTGTCTACAGGGGGTGGGAACTCTGCTTCTGCCAGACTGCACATCACCGGTCTCGGACAGATGGCTGGGGCTGCTGTCACCCATGCACTGTCCCTAGGGAAGCGCCAACTGCCTCCTGTTGTCCTGAGGATGCAATGAGCATAGCCGTGGACACTGCCAGGCCTCTTGGTGGTAGGGGAGTCAAGGGACCAGCGTGGACCCTGCACTGGACACAAAGGTGAATTACAGAGGTGCGGTGTGGCGGGTGAGGAGGAGTGGCTACTGAGGACCCAGGTGTCTGTCCGAGGCTGAGGAGGGCCTCAGAGTGGGGGCAGCACAACCAAAGGCTGAGGGGTGGAGGCAGAGTGTGGGGTTATGACAGAGAAGGGCACCGGTGCTGCCACACTGACCTCAGAGGCCACAAGAGAGAGGCATCCTGACCCTGACAGGATGCCCTCCTGATCTGGGAGCATTGGAGCCTCAGCCGGTCCCGGGCTGAGCATGGCCCTAGGTCTAGACCTGCAGCCCCAGCCTCCCCTGACATCTCTTGGCTACTGCTGGCCACACAGGAGACAGGGGGCCCCGGGTGGGCTGGGCAAACTCCATGCTGGCCCGACGGTGCGCAGGGGCAAGTGGGAGGTTTGGCCTGTGTGCCCTCCTGCAGCTGAGTGTGGGGAACCCAGGAGGCTCGTGGCGCCCCAGCCTCGGGAACAGGGCTCTGTGCCTCCTGGGACTCACTAGGGGTGCCAGAGATGGACTTTTGCACAGCTGAGGGGCCCTGCACACCCCTAGGCCTCCATGGCCCAGGCAGGGACCGGCCCAGTTCCCACCCAGGCAGGCCCCAGACACCGAGGGTCCCCCATTCAGAAGAACAAAGGCGGGTGCACTCTGCACAATGCTGCCGATGAGCGTTGAGAAAGAGGCCGCTGGCCCTGCGCGGCGGTTTATTCCGAGCTGCTAATTCCGTTCCAGCACAATTACAACAGCTCTGATAATGCCAAGACAATTGCCAGCGCGGCCACACATGGCGGGTTCCTCCCAGGGCTGCGTGTCGCGGGATCCACTGCCTGGGCCACAGAGTCAGGGCTGTGCCAGCCTGCTGTAGCCCAGTGTCTGGACGGGCTATCCTGTGGGCCCTGAGCGCCTGGCCTGCAGGCCGAGTGTCCGGCTGGATGCTGCTGCTCCCCAGGTGCCCGTCCTAGGAAAGCCCAGCCACCAGGGACTCCACGCAGCAGAGACACCACACCAGAAGGCTGAGCAACACCTGCGGTTCTCCCTCGTGGGCCACCTGCCGCTCTGTGCACAGGGTCCCACCGGCCATGTGGGCTCCCTGGGCCACTGTAAGTGCTCCACAAACATCAGCCATTGCCACTTACAGACCAACAGGGCGGGGGCTGGGGAGGGCACCAGCTGAGCACTGGCCTGGGCTCTGCACCACGAAAAGTCCTCTCCATCTCCCCAATCACACAGCCCTGTGAGGTTCTTTCTCAGGCTCCACCCAAACAGGGAAACTGAGGCACAGAGGGTCAGTGCCAGGCAAAGTCTCAGCACATGGGTGCTGGGGACATGTGTGGAGCTGGGCCCACAGGCCAGTCACGACCTGAACCTCACACCCAGGAAACATCCAGCCCCCAGAGGAGGCCTGAATCCTGTCTACTGGGTAAACTGAGGTCTGCCAGGGTAGACTGAGTGGCCCCTGCTACCAGGGGACTTGGGCAATGCCACACCCGCCTCAATACATGCTGTCCCCAAACCCCGGCTGGCAGGCCTGCCTCTCCCTGGGGCCCCGTGAGGTGGGCCAGTGCCTGAGGCCATGCACCTGCCAGGGTTCATGGCCACCACAGCATCACCCACAGCAGGGGCATCACTGGGCACGGCCCCCACGGTGCCCGGAGCCCCTCGGTTATCACACTGAGCAGACGCCGCGCGCCCATCCATCTCCTGCTCATTAAGCCGGACGCCGGGATGGAAATGAAAACATAATAGCTATTTGATTGGGGGTGAGATAGTTTGCATATTGGCTCAGCGCTGATAGCGGAATTTCATCAACTCCCTTTTTTCATGCTTTAAAACTGAATTACGGAGACAGCTCTGCACGGCGGGCTCATCCCGCTCCCTCCTCGTCCTGTCCCTGCCCCTCCCAGCCAGGATGGCTGCGGGGCTGACACTGCCCCTCGGGGCCTGTGGCTGAGGTCCGGGACAGGCCTCCCCAGCTTGTGGTGGGCTCCCTGCAGCCCCCAGCTCCGCCCAGCACAGGGTCTTTGTGGCCCCTCTGGAACCCCCTGCTCACCTGCAAGCAGGACATGGGCAGCAGCATCTCTGAACCCCACCTGTTCTCTTGCCCATGTGTCCATTGGCTCCCCAGTGCCTCCTTTGCTTCATTCACTCATCAAACCTTGCCTGAGCCCACCCCTTGAGAAGAGGCGAGGAGGGCACCCTTGGGGGCTCCCTGGAGGAGGGGGCCGGGGTGAGGAATCTTCCTGCATCCGAGTGGGAAAAGTGTGGGCAGGGCCAGGGCAGCCACTCCTCCCCATGCCAGGTTTCCTTGTGGAAAATGGGGGGGAGGCGCCAATCAAGGGCTGGCACGGTGTGGCCAGACCGGCTGGTGGGTGTGGAGTGCAGCCTTGGGCTGAAACAGCCTCTGTCATCATCTGGGTGCCGTCCCTCTGTCTGGGGGAGGAAGAACAGGGCAGGGCAGAGGTGGGGATGAGGGCAGGATGGGCGGGCTCTGCCAGGAGAGAGACCCTGGGCTCCATGCACAGAGCGGCAGATAAGGCTTGATAACAGCAGAAAAACAGCAACAGGTTTAGACATTCCCACTAGGGGACAGCGGGCAGCTGAGGTCACACTGGGGACAAGGAGGCAGGTGGGGGCAGCCCATGTGGGAGCTGGGGTGACCAGGACGCAGCCCGGGGCTGGGCCTCTGGCCAGCCACGCCAGGGCCATGCTCCTATGTAGACCCTGACGGGGGGAGATCCTGCTCCTGGGCTGCTGTGACCTCCCCAGCTGACCAGCGGACTGGGTGCTGTCCAGGCCCCAGCACCAGGAGCCTGACCCAGCCACTGCCCACGGGCTGGCACCCAGTGCTGCAGCCCCTTGGCCACCAGTCCACAGAGGGTTCCAAGGCCCTTTCATAGGGGACAAGTGGCTTGGGGATCCAGGGCATGCAACCCCAGCTGTCACCAAATGTGGCCCAGCTGTCCCTTGCCCAGAGCCCCTCTGTACGTGCTTTCCATGGGGGCAACTGCCACTGCTGCCCACACCAGTTGTCCTTAGGCGGCCAGCTCCCTACTGTGGCCCGGGCAGGGCCCCTCGTCCCTCAGAACCTCCCCAGGGCCTGCAGGTCCTTGTGGGCCAAGCCTCTCCTCCAGGGCATAGCCAGCCTAATGCCCTCGAAGCCTAGCAGGGGGCCCACAGGCCAGGGAAGAGGAAGGTAGGCTGCCCCAGCCAAGAGCCTTAGAAGGGATTCTTTGGTGGCTGTCAGGTGATGGCTCCCTGGGGGCTGGGGCAGGAGTATACCCACAGCCCACCGGGCCACCCGTAGCTGCCACACCAGGATCAGGAGGATGTCCAGAGGGTGTGGGTGAGAAATCACGCTTGATGGACTGAGCAGCGCCCCGATGGGGCGGGCCACAGTTGTAGGTCCTGCAGGTCCCAAGGCTCACAGGAAGCTGGAGACGCAGCGTGGCACAGGCACCTCCCCCAGTCCATACCATCGGGGCTCACATACCCCTGGGGCAGGGAGCTCCCGCCTGGTCCTCCGAGCCTGCGCTCCTCCCCCTCTCCTCATTCTCTGGGCACTGCTGCTGTTGCACATCCACCCGTGTGCCTGCTGCAAGGGCCAGCAAGGCTGGACCTGAGGTATGCTCTGGGCCATCCAACACCCAGGCCACGGCGTCAAGTGCTTGGGGCTGACAGGGCAGGGCCGCAAGGGAATGGGGACCCACATTCTAAGCCCCACAGTGATGGCCTTGTGTTCAGCACTGAACCTGCTCAGTCCAGGTGCAGTTCACACATGATGCCAGCTCTCCCCTCGTGTGCTGGCGGGCTGTTCAAGGCCGAGTGATTGTTCAAAGTGTTGCTGCCCTGTGCCCAGCCCTCTCCCCTCCAACGCTGGGAGGGCCAGGGGCACAGGGGCTCTTTCTAAGGGCAGTGTCTCTCCTCTCAGGACTCGCTCTGGCCCAGGCTGCTTGTGCTCTGCCTGGATAGGAATCACTGGGCTTCTCACCTCTCTCCCCACCCTTTCCTATTTGCAAAGTCCAGCCTGGAACCAGTGGGTGGAGCTGGTGGGCTTCCCTACCCCAGGCTGTGGCCCTACCGGGCCTGATGGCCTGCAGGCCAGCTGAGCAGACTCCACGGATAGGACAATGACACTTGCCTCTTGTAATGCCTCCTTCACTTGGCATTCCGCCACTTGCAGGCAGGACACTGAGGCACAGACCACAGACTTGTGCCAGGCCTCTTGGCAAGCAGAGTGGGCTGCCTGTCCAGGGCAGCACCTGGCGTGGCTAGCAGAGTCCTCCCCACTAGCCCCAGGACTGGCCCAGCATTCCCTCAGTCCTCCCCACCTCTGTGGGTGCCTGTCCTTGCCTATGTGACCTCTACTCTGCTCATTCCCAGGGCTAGAGTCAGGGTGCCTGGTCACTTGGTGTCTCTCTGCCCTGGCTGGGGCACCCCGTCCCCCAGGAAATGAGTTCCTCTGATCAGATCGCCAGTGACATGAGTCTTCCAGGACCCCAATGAGGACACTAAAGCAGAGGACACTAGCTCTGCCTGGTGCCCCATGGCCTCAGGCCAGCTGCTCACAGGGCTGCTCAGGCCAGGCACAACCGAGGCCCTGTGGGCTCCTGGGAACTGGGAAATGGGCACAGACCACTGAGCTTGCTGGGCTCAAGACACAAGGCTCAGATGCCAGGACACCCTGCTGAGGAGGGCCGCTCCCAACCTCGGGGCTGGCATGTGTGGGCATGGGTGCCCAGAGCAGAACAGAAACTGCGTGGGGCTGCTGGGGTGCAGGTGGCTGAGCAGAGCTCAGGGAGAGCATTGGGCAGAGGGTGCTGCCAGGCGAGGCCCCTGGAGAGGGAACTGCTGGGAGGAGGGCAGGGCTGGTCCAGGTTCCCCTAGACACAGCACAGGGTCTTTGAAGTCACTGCTGCAGGCAGCCCCCAGCCCTGCCCTCAGGATCCTCCCCCTGCTCCTCCCTGCCCCTCTCTCAGGCGGGCCAGCGGTCTGGTCCCCCACCCTGTCCCCAGGGGCAGGGGCCGGGCAGGCAAGGCTGAGAGAAAGGGAGGCGGAGGTGGAGGGAGGAGGACGGGGCCTGAGAAAGCCCGGCTGGCTGATAGGGAGAGATTGGTTTCAGCCGGAGCTGTGGCCTGCCAAGTCCACATCCTATCGGCAAGGCCTGGGCTCACTCAACATTCATCACCACTGAGCTTGGAAACTTTATCAACGCTAAAGGTTGGCGCCATCTCTGGGGCCGGCCACTCCCAGCCTCCGATGGGCCTGATAACCACTGATAGATTACACGAGATTGTTTCACTCTGGAGAACCGATTACTAACGCGCTGGGGAAGGGGGACGTGGACGGGGGCGGGGGAGGGGGCCGGAGGCGGTCCATGGGGTGGCGGGGCATGAGGAGGTGCGTCTGACCACGTGTGCATGGTTGGGCAAGGCCATGTGCTGGGCAGGGCAGCAGGGCCGAGGAGCAGGGCTGAAGCATGAGGCTGCAGGGGTGAGAGGAGTGATGTGGCCAAGATGGGCGCTGGAGGCCCCAGTGATCCTCTCCCCAGATGGGTGATAAGGGCTGAGTGATGGGCCCAGCCGAGGCTAATGGAGCCACAGCAAGGCCGCAGTCGGATGGATGGAAGCAGATGGCAGCAGACGGGACAGCGATGCGCGACAGCCTCCACTGAGGGCCGGGTGAGCCCTCCTCGCAGCCCATCCCACTCCCATCAAACAAGAGACCTGGCATGGAGCCGTGCTGGGCACCTCCCTGGCCACTGCAGGTGCCACATGCTCCAGCTTCTGTCTGCTGCAAGAGCCCCGGCCCTGAGTCAGGGCCCCACTGGGACATCTCACCCCTCCTGGAGCCTCCACATCTCAGCATCACGCCCCCATACCACCAGCTCCCGCCACAGGGCCCCCGCCACCGGCGCCCGTAGCTCTGCCCTGGACGAGACCCCCTGGACTGGGGACAGTGCTGTGTGCTGACCGAGGGCCCTGGCAAAGACCGCACACAGTAGGCGCTCAGTACAAGTTTAGAGGATGACACCCACACGTGCCCGTCCACTGCACTTTCCCCAGCAGGGGGAGGGTGTCCGGGTGCCACCTTGGGAAGGGCCCCTCGCTGTCCCCATCATTGCCTTGCACCTCTCTGCCTGAGACCTTGTGGATTTAGGAAGGAGGTCGACCTTCTCCTCATTTCCTCTGCACTTGTCTGTTTTGCCTCTGGAGACTGGCAGGGATCTAGACTCCAATCCGAGAGTCTTTACCCAGCACCCACTGTGTGCCCTGCTCTGCCCTGCTGAGGCGGAGTTGGAAGCCCAGAGGGTGCAGCCTCTGGCCGTGGTCAGCCCTGGCTCTGGGACATGGTCCCCTCCCAGCATCCTCCCCTTAGAGCTCAGCCCCAGCCCTCACTCCTTGCTCCTATTTTCCACTTAGGTGTTTCTGGAAGAGGCCTATGCTTGTGGCTGATTTTTGGGGTTGTAAGCCCTATGGTGTGGGGCTTGATGGGGCCTTGGGCCAGGTCCAGGACCTGATGCTGCCACAAGGCAATGGAGGAGCCCTGGCGGACTCAGGACCCACAATCCCCACAGGCATGCTCTCCTGGCATGGGGGCCTTTGAAATCAGGGACCTGTTGCATTGGGCCTGGAGGGAGCCCAGATGTGGGATAGGCAGGGGGGCAGGTGGCCTGGACTGTTCCTGTCAGGATTCTGAACTCAGAGTTCTTGTCTGGCTAGCAGAATCAGCTGCACTGACCCTGGGATACCCAGGTCTGGGTCCCCTGGGGGGCTGGGCTGAGGGTCAGCAGAGGTCATCCAAGCGCCAGCCTGTCTATCCTGTGCCGGGCCAATGGGAGGCCCTGGCAGTCTGAGGGATTTCCACCAAGGGTAGGTAGGGTCTAGGATGGGCACAAATTCCCCTACTTTAAGGGAAGCTCCGCCCTGGCCATAGAGGCCCACCCCATCCTTAGCAGTTCCGATCCTAGGGCCTCACTCCCACTCATTTGCATGCCCCATTTCCATTGGCTGCCAGTAGGGGCGGAGCCATGGGGGGCGGGGCTTGGGCCTTTGGGGTCACACTAGAGTCCTCCCTGGGTCACCCAGGCTGCGGGCCAGGCTCTGGAGTTGTGGGCTTGGGTACTAGGTGACCGGATTCTAGAGGACCAGCTCTGGACAGGGTTTCAGTGTGGGGAGCACAGGTGTGGGTGAAGGCCGGGGGAAGACTGACCCGAGGCCATGAGGCCAGGACACAGGAGTGCTGGGGACCTGGCCCCAAGTCCAGCCTCCTTTGCAGGCCCTGCAGACTTCTGCTGCTGTTCAGGACCACAGGGTTTGGGGC